GCCATTTTTGTATGCTAATTGATTTTGTGACAATAGTTTCTTTTTATTCATTACCCAGGTGAGCCTGTTTGCTATTATTTTTTCCATCAATTTACTGACACATGAAATTAGTGAGATTGGTCGGTAGCCCTCTAGAGAATTTTTTTCTTTTTCCGGTTTTGCGAGTGGAATAATCGTTGCCAATTTCCATTCCTGTGGGATGATATTCGTGTTTAGTATTTTATTATAGAGGTTTAGAAGCCTTCGTGTCGCGACGAGTGGAAGGTTTTTTATCATTTTGTAGTTTATTTTATCGTGACCTGGGGTATTACCTTTTAGTGCGTTTAGTGCAGTGTAGTATTCTGATAAAGTAATATCTGTTTCCATTTTTTGTACGTCTTTGTTTTGTCCGTTGCTGATGTATTCTGTTACATTGTGTGCATATTTGAGTTCAATATATTTTCTGTCGAAGTTGCTGTCACTTGCATATGACGACCATTTTTTGGCAAAAGAATTTGCTATGTCCTTAGGATCCGTAAAAGTATTACTAAAGTTATCTTTTATAGTCCTGATGGTGTTAGTAGTGTAATTTATGTATAATTTATTAACATTGTGCCATAGTTCTTTCATTGATGTTCTATTGTTTATTGAGCTGGTAAATTCGTAGAATGATTTTCTTTTAGCGGCTTTGGCTTGCTTCTTAAATATTGCATTAGCTTTTTTGAAGGCTATTCTATTTTCACTGGTCATATTGTTTTTGAATTTATACCATAGATTTTATTTGGTTGACCTTAGTTCAGTTAAGTGGTCGTTCCACCATTGCGCTTTCTTTTTTGTGGTGTATTGTGGGTATGTATGAGGAATAGCTTCATTTGCGGCTGCCATTATTAATTTTCTGAGCTTCGAAGCTTCACTATTTATGTTGTTAGATATGTCATAGTTTTTTATTTTGGAGTTTATCAGGTTATGATATCTTGGCCAATCTGCTTTAGTTACAATGTAACGTGAAAAGTGTTTTTTTATTGCTGGTTGTGTGTTGTCGCCATATGTTATGAATATGGGATAGTGATCGCTTCCGYGCATGTCTTTTAGTGTTTTCCAACCCAGGAAACTTGTG